GAACAATTCACATTCGAAATACTTTCTAAATACCTTTATAGTAATCTGCCTATAAATATCGTCTTTGTGGAGCACGCGCAGAATAGGTCTACAGGGCAGAAGCACCGCGCGTGTCCTTGAGTAAATAAATAGAAAGTTCAAAGGCTTCAAGCGTTAAATGGTAGAACTACAAGAGCCAACAGTTACACATCTGTAATCTTAATCCAGCCATATATGAGCAATGTCCTCTTTATAAAAATAAAACTTGTGCTTTATTTGAAATAATTTATTATATACACAACACAAATCTGGAGACAATTTTCCATCTTATGCTACTCTATAAAATTTAGGAGAGCAGGATAAGTTAACTTGAAGTGTTTTTATTGGCTCAAGGTGCTTATGGACTGCAGCCAGGCATTGTTGTAACAAAAAATCACTTCAAGGAAAATCCTCATCTTGTGATAACATCAAGAGGATTTTTTATGTCATATCATGGCCCTGCCAGTCATCATGAAAATGATTTGGTTCAGTGGTTACCAATGGTTGTGTTTTATCACACACACTGCAGTAATGTGCATTACCAGGCCAGAAATCTCCCAAACTTAAATATAGCCTCTCACTCGTGAAGCTCCTTACTCAAATTCAGAACCATCTGGGGGAAAACTCTTTTATGATTATTACATGTTTCAACACTCAATTTAAAACATATGGTAAATTAGGCAATTAGCATAATATTTTCAATTTTTGACAGATAAATGATACCTACACAGGCTGACAAATCATAGGGTAGAAAGACATTTCATGGAAAAACAGTTCGTCTGGTCAGTTTAAAGATGTGAAAACATTCCAGATGCTGCTGTAGAACAGACCTCAAAGAGTCAGAAACGTCAAATGGATTATGTCAGCAAATACAAAGACAAAAAAATAATCTGTGAATGTTCATTTCTAGCATAAAAACACTGCACAAATGCCCTTGCAAAACACAAGCATTTGTAAATATTACGAATGAAACAGACCGGTTGCCGAGAGCAAATCTGCATTTAGTTAAAACTAAAAAAGACACATAGAAGACATTTGAACAGCACTCCCTCCCTGTGGGTGTACAGGCCAACACACCTACACACGCTTTCATTTGTTTCCCAATGAAAGCATCAGGCCACCTGGGCCTTGCATCGAAACTTCATCAATCTCCAGAAATGGAATCCAGTGGAGAGAAAAATCAAATTCTCATTTGCAAGATGGGTAAGGGGGAGAGGAGAGAGAGAAAGAGAGGGGGAGAGCTGGAGGTACCTGGGAAGGCTAACCTCTAGCTGAACCCACAGCATTGAATCGTTTTGCCATTTGTCTGTGATACTGACAGGCTGCAAAGAAGATTAGACACTCAAGGTTGTGACTTCCTATTCTGCTTATTTCATCCCTTGCAAATCATGAAAGACTTCCTCTCCTCACCCACGGTAACTTTTACTAGACCGAGACATATTATATCGAACACAGAAGCAATATTTTCCTAACCAATGAAAGAAAGAATATGCATGATGAATATAGTGATGTACGCTCTGTTGACTCATCAAATGACAATGATATGACATTAACAGTTGAAAATCTCTTCCGAATGATCACTATACTGGGCTGGAGGAAAAGTGAGAGCGTGTTTGGGTGAAACAGTGAAATTACAAATGAGCGAGAGACGGAGCGAGAGCAAATATCAGCATTTTCTGCAGCATCGTAGCCTTCTGAGAGTGAAGTGAACTTTTGAACCCGTATGGCAGAAGCAGCGATGCACTGAGGATGCTCGGGTCTAATATGTGTCTATTTCAATTAATTAATGCGAAGGGAAACAGAGGGTGGGAAAATGACAGCACAGAGGAAAGATGGTGTCATCTTTGCCGAAGTAATTTAACGTGCCCTATGAAGCCTGCCAATGCCTCATACTTTACTCTTTCACAAAACCGCAGCAGAATATTAATCACGATTGGAGGAAATTAATGGCTGATTACTAGAATGGATGGATGCTTTTGGGGGAAAAAAAAAACATGATCCAAATCTTGTCCCAGCCAGTGAAATTTTATTTGAACTATGCTATTGCTATGGCATACAGGTCAATAATGTAGACTCAGTTGCCCTAGACAGAGTTCAGACAGGTCACGAATTGACCAGAACAAGACCTAGGGGTCAAAAGTTTACTGTAGGGAGGAAGAAACACTCAAAGTGTGAGCATGCACTCACAGTAAACGTATGGAGTTAAGAGGCATGGATGAGTAACAGCTGACGGCGACTCAAACACCGAGGTCATGTAAGGTGTTTATGATCACATGACTTCACCTCCACATGCCATTGCATTAGGATAAATATGACAATCCGAGGCTGCAGGACAGAGCTCTGCCGAAAATCCTTGACAGTAATTGTGATGATGACGAAAATGAGATTTGGTCACTATAGTTTGCTAACGGTTGCTTAATTGCCAAGCTAAAATGTCTTTTTCATTGATGCAAGCTCTTTTTGGACTCTCCAGAGATTCATTACAACAATCAATTTCACAACCATTAATTACGAGGCTCTAAGATCTTGAGAAAAAAATTAAATTTACATCTTGATTATCTAATTTGCGATAAAGAAACAACTTAACTCTGAATCCTTGGCCTTTCTGATTGGCTTCTCCAGCTTTGCCTGTAAAGCTGTGGTGGGGTAAGATAACAGGAACGAGAGGGGCTTTTGTTTTTGGACATAAATCAAGTCAGTGCACACAAAGAGCCCAGAGCATGTGCAGCCTTTGATAGGACATGCATTGATATTAGCTTCTTAAACACACAAACTCCTGTCAGACTGACAAACCATACACCTTTTCTGCTCTATTTGTTATTACTGAAATGATTGGTGGATTTGAGTCTTGTGTGCGATCTATATATATTTTTTTATCATTTTAGCAATCATTCCAAGCAAATATGTACTACTCAAACCATTCAGAGTGATAAGAATGTTTCTTTTTTCTACAACTTTTGCATTTCCTAAACTTGACCTGGCAAAATATCCACCCCACTGTGAGGCTCCTCCTGCCCTGGGCTTCCCATCCTTGGCTGCAGGGCTGCTGTCATCCAGACGAGGCTGCAGGCACGGTGGGGTCAACCGTGCGGTCTGTGGGTGAAACTCAGTTCACATTACCATACAGACAGGGGCCCTGACAATAGAGCGCCCATCTGTTCCTGTCAGCTATAACAAATCTAGTGTCAAACCTCCCTCTGGAGACAGGGAGGCAGCGCTGGCTAAATGAAATAACACTGACTCCTCCCATCGACGAGTCAACTGCAGCCTCGTCCTCCAGTCAGTTTAGAGCACAAGCAGACACAGTCAATGTCCCTTCCTCACACAGGCGAGCATGTGACTCCACGAAGCGAGTAACGGTGCAAGAATTGAATGCCTGAACTATATTTACCCTCTGCTACAATAGGGTAAATTTGAAAATATCAGCATGCAAGGACACCGGCTCATTCATATCACATATGCATTTTGTTTTTCATTCACTCGAGCTAAGCAAAAAGGGGCTCTCAGCATGGAGCATTCTTATTGAATAAAAGGCAAATGAGAAAACAGCCTAAATTTGAATTGCTGAAAAAGGTGCACATTTGAATCTTAATCTTCATGATTATATTCCTCTCTCTAATTTCATATGCACCGAAACGCTCTCCCGCTCAAATTCCAAATGTCCTCTTGTTGGGTTTGATGTGAGATTCCCAACTGGTGAACTAAACATGAACCCTGAACTGCACTTGCCCTTGCTGGTCATTATCTTTATTGAAAGAGCGACATGATGCGAATTTTCTTCGAGTTACTTCTCTTTGACTTATATGCCTTTTCCGGCAAAGAAGAGAATCAAAGGAGCACATCCAGGTTTGACCACTTTTGTTGCTAAATTACAAACAACATATAAAATAAATGGGACGATGGAGTATTCATTTTTACCAGGGTGGTGAGAGGTTTCGTGTCAGTGAACAAGAAGGCGTATTCAAGATAAAAGCAATAATTTATGGTTTTCACAAACGGCAATTCTGTAGCCTGACATTTTTCTTTTCTGTTCAATCTGGAAAACTGTTAAGAGAAGAAAATAGTTATATGAAGTAAAAATCTAGCAAAAAAAAAAAAAGAAAAACAGAGAGAAAGAGAGGGAGATTCTGATTTCTCTTTGCCTTTTATTGGATTACAGTATCATCTCTGAGCCGGCCACTATAGAGATCAATGCTATTGACTTGAATGTCCCTTCATTCTTTTCTTTTCGCTTATTTCTGCAAAGCTGCAGGCTTTTGATCCCTCTGAGAAAATTGTCAGTTGTATGATGAGTGATAAAGAAGAGAAATGGATAAAACGCCCCTCAGGTACAGGGTTGAGTTTCAAGACCAGCTGGTTACAGAGGAACCGGGGATGATCAGTCACAGATCATGGCCCGAAGCAACAGCAAACTGCCCACGTTAGTACAAAAAAAAACAAAAAAAACAATCAGCAAACACAAAACACATGATTTTGATGGGCTATTTTCAGTCTGCAGTACATCCTGTTTTTCTCTCTTTAAACTTTGAATTACATAGCAGTTTGCGTTTTCCAAATTGTAGTAGGCTATACAAGTGTAAATATACTTGGTGTCAGAAGGACAAGAAAGCTAACATTTTGACACCATTGTTAAACAGTCAAACATGCCACGGTTTAACCTCAAGAACCTCAGGACATATGACCAAACATCCCGCTTGCCTGCCACTAGAGGGAGAGCTTCATCTCTTGGAGGGTAAAGACCACCCTCCCATTCCTCCTCCACACACTCCTTAATGCCAGCAGCAGAGTTGTGGGAATCCACTAGAGGGTGATCTGTTACCAAACACCTCCACTGGGGTATTTCATCACTACCAGTGAAACCCCCACAACAAGAAATGTGCTAAAGATGCTTTAGACAAGTTTCCTGTCTCAGCTTATCACAGCTTACATGCATTAGACATTCGAGTAAACACTCATCTGCACAAAGAGTGGCTTGAACTCACGTTCAGGAGCACCTTCCTCTTGGTAGTCAGAGGCCACTGACATATCATCTGAGGGGGCAGAGCGTCCCAGACTGGAGCTGTGGTTGTCATCTGAACTGTCCTCAAGATTGGATTCAACTAGGACAAAAAAAAAAGTATATTTAATCAAGAACGTCATATAAGTAGAAACTTTGTTGAGTTAATTCGACAGACATTCATGAAATGAAAATGCTGTGGGAGGAAAATCGAATCATTTGTGAAACCGACTTGTTTTCTATAGAACCAGTGTTGCTCTGAACGGAAATCTCGGTGAGCAATTAATTAGAATCATGAAACAGCTGTTCACTTACATCTGTGGGGGAATTCTTGTGGGTGTCTGCAAAAGAGAGGATTAAAAAATGCTTTTAGAGAAGAACATTTTGTAAAGGATAAAATAACCTTCTAAACAAATGGACTTCACAATGTTCAAAAATGTAAATAAACAGGATTATTGTATAAGGCTTATAATCAGATATAACTGAGGTTCATCAAATGGTTTGTATTGTTCCACTATCTTTCTTAGACTAAATAAACATTGCAGATCTGCAATGAGAGCCGTACGACAAATTCTAAAAGAATCGAAGAGGCGTTAGATTGATAGCAGGATGAGTATCTGTATAAACACATGCATCTGTAAAGCAGTGCATTGCAGCATTTGCAAATGATGCATTGACAGCTAAGTATTCATGTAAGCCAGTGCTGAAGAAGAAAAAAGTACGCTTGTTCTCTTTGCAAACACCTTGTTTCAGCACAGCAAACCACAAAGCCACTCCAGTGGGTAAGCGCTCTAATTGTACTCCTTGCTTGTGAAAAGACAACTAGAAGAACTGTGCCATTTGCTTCCTGTCTGTTTAACTGTTGTGTTTCATTTGTAGCTCAGTTGGGAGCACAGATTCTCAAGCTGCAAATAATTTGCTTCTATACATTTACTTTTTGTGGTTTTCAATGTGCAGCACAAACAAGGAGGAGCAAGTATGTGTCCGCTCTAATAGCTACGCATGAATAAAACATATTGTGATATCCCTCACCTCTTTTGGATGACATGAAAATTTCGTAGGAGAATTTCCCTGGCCTCTCGAGCAGGATTACTGAGATTCTCATCCTGGAGTATCTCAAAAACAAACAGCTCACAGTCTGAAAAAAAAAGAAGATAGAAAACCACCTCAGTAAACTATGCTACATTAGTCTGTATATAAGATACAATAAAAGTACATAAAAACTAACAGTAAAATGTAAAAACGTTTACTTTGTATTTTAATATGTGGAAAGAGAAAAATCTGACCAATAACTCATGTGGTATTGCTACTCAATAGAGCATATATGTTTTGAAATATGCAAAGGACTGTTCTATTCAGGCAAATGCCATAGACCCCAGGATGTTCTGTGTCAGAACAGATAACATCTCATGATGTTATCTGGCATCATTCATGTGTAGCCTACCATTTTGTACAAAATGTTTTACTCTAAAGTAAACACAGCAAAGCAGAATAATTAAAAGAGAAAATAAAACTAATTAAATCATAAAATAGTCTGTAATCAAGATTTAAGAGCATAACCCACAGTATGTTTACAGTGAACTGGAAAACCAACTCTAATGCTGGGTACACACCACAAGATAATCGGGCTGATTTTGGGCAGATTTCTCCCCTTCCGACAATCCTAGGTAATGCCCCGATTATCTTGGTGGTTCTAAAGATTATTTTATCAGATTTTCCTGTGGTGTGAGGTGTGTTAAGGGTGACTGAATCTGCTGGGAAGAACGTCGGAGGCGCCCCGATCGCGAATCGTAATCAACATGTTGAATATTTACGATCAGAAATCCTGATGTGTGGGGGGGACCACACACTATAGGAGCAAAACGGTTAAATCTAGGATATTTTGTCCTCATGTCTGTGGTCTTTCACATCTTGAAGACCTTATAAGATTTTAAAAATCTTTTAGTGTGTAGCTACCCAGCATAACTTGTAAAAGCGCATCAACTCCCAGTTCTTCTGATTTTTTTTTTTAATTTCATCAAAAATAATTTAGCGTGTAATTGTATAAATAGCTATCTTTAAAGTTACCTTCAAAAGTTAGGCTACCTGAAAAACTAACAATACAAAAATAAGTAGCCTACATGTAGGCTATATAGATTTTATGCATATTGAAAGAGCACAAAATTGAATTAACGGTGAAACAATGGAGAATACCTTTTAATAGTTGTCTGAAGTCATCAACAACCGTCCCCATCTCTTACTCTCTGAGTAAGACTCCAACAGAAATAAAGGCTAATAAAATATGCTGATGTCAACGATTGAAGGTCAAAGAAATTCTGAATGAACTTGTTGGTCACTTGTCATCCCACAACATGAATTCACAGAATGAAATAAAAAGGAATTGAAAGAGATATCCACACCCACACACCCACACACCCACACACACACACACACACACACATCGGTTAGCGGAGAGAAGATAAAGAGGAAGTGCAAAGCACATTGTTGTGAAAATGAAACGTGTCCAAAGAGATGTAGGATAGGCGAACTACTTTGTGACACAGTGACTTGAGTCTGAAATTAGTGTAAAATTAATTTTAAAATATTACTACTGAATGTGCCTTTACCGCCCCTGCAGTGGGTAAGCGCTCTAATTGTACTCCTTGCTTGTGAAAAGACAACTAGAAGAACTGTGCCATTTGCTTCCTGTCTGTTTAACTGTTGTGTTTCATTTGTAGCTCAGTTGGGAGCACAGATTCTCAAGCTGCAAATAATTTGCTTCTATACATTTACTTTTTGTGGTTTTCAATGTGCAGCACAAACAAGGAGGAGCAAGTATGTGTCCGCTCTAATAGCTACGCATGAATAAAACATATTGTGATATCCCTCACCTCTTTTGGATGACATGAAAATTTCGTAGGAGAATTTCCCTGGCCTCTCGAGCAGGATTACTGAGATTCTCATCCTGGAGTATCTCAAAAACAAACAGCTCACAGTCTGAAAAAAAAAGAAGATAGAAAACCACCTCAGTAAACTATGCTACATTAGTCTGTATATAAGATACAATAAAAGTACATAAAAACTAACAGTAAAATGTAAAAACGTTTACTTTGTATTTTAATATGTGGAAAGAGAAAAATCTGACCAATAACTCATGTGGTATTGCTACTCAATAGAGCATATATGTTTTGAAATATGCAAAGGACTGTTCTATTCAGGCAAATGCCATAGACCCCAGGATGTTCTGTGTCAGAACAGATAACATCTCATGATGTTATCTGGCATCATTCATGTGTAGCCTACCATTTTGTACAAAATGTTTTACTCTAAAGTAAACACAGCAAAGCAGAATAATTAAAAGAGAAAATAAAACTAATTAAATCATAAAATAGTCTGTAATCAAGATTTAAGAGCATAACCCACAGTATGTTTACAGTGAACTGGAAAACCAACTCTAATGCTGGGTACACACCACAAGATAATCGGGCTGATTTTGGGCAGATTTCTCCCCTTCCGACAATCCTAGGTAATGCCCCGATTATCTTGGTGGTTCTAAAGATTATTTTATCAGATTTTCCTGTGGTGTGAGGTGTGTTAAGGGTGACTGAATCTGCTGGGAAGAACGTCGGAGGCGCCCCGATCGCGAATCGTAATCAACATGTTGAATATTTACGATCAGAAATCCTGATGTGTGGGGGGGACCACACACTATAGGAGCAAAACGGTTAAATCTAGGATATTTTGTCCTCATGTCTGTGGTCTTTCACATCTTGAAGACCTTATAAGATTTTAAAAATCTTTTAGTGTGTAGCTACCCAGCATAACTTGTAAAAGCGCATCAACTCCCAGTTCTTCTGATTTTTTTTTTTAATTTCATCAAAAATAATTTAGCGTGTAATTGTATAAATAGCTATCTTTAAAGTTACCTTCAAAAGTTAGGCTACCTGAAAAACTAACAATACAAAAATAAGTAGCCTACATGTAGGCTATATAGATTTTATGCATATTGAAAGAGCACAAAATTGAATTAACGGTGAAACAATGGAGAATACCTTTTAATAGTTGTCTGAAGTCATCAACAACCGTCCCCATCTCTTACTCTCTGAGTAAGACTCCAACAGAAATAAAGGCTAATAAAATATGCTGATGTCAACGATTGAAGGTCAAAGAAATTCTGAATGAACTTGTTGGTCACTTGTCATCCCACAACATGAATTCACAGAATGAAATAAAAAGGAATTGAAAGAGATATCCACACCCACACACCCACACACCCACACACACACACACACACACACATCGGTTAGCGGAGAGAAGATAAAGAGGAAGTGCAAAGCACATTGTTGTGAAAATGAAACGTGTCCAAAGAGATGTAGGATAGGCGAACTACTTTGTGACACAGTGACTTGAGTCTGAAATTAGTGTAAAATTAATTTTAAAATATTACTACTGAATGTGCCTTTGCCGCCCCTGTTGAAAAAAACAGCAGCTGGTTAGGTATGTTTTGACGCTGGGATGCTGGTTTAAGCTGGTCCTTTGCTGGTTTATGCTGGTCCTTTGCTGGT